TTAGTATTTGAAATACTGTTTCTGATTCTGTCTTTACAGAAAACTAACATGAATTCCAAATATGAAATGACATAGGCTAGAATACAAAAACAGCAAGTTCAAGTTAACTTGGGTGATTTACTTGGTTTTTACTTGAAAAAATTTACTCTCTATTCAGTGGTTTGACCAGGCTTCTAAAGATTGATTCTGAAAATGAGAAGGAAAATGACTTCTGAGATGACTGAAGATGAACTAAACATAAAACAGCTATCTTTATAATGAGAAAAACAAAAGGTCTGAAGACAAGACCTCTACTAAGAAGGATGGGAAACGTAGTTTTTAAATTATAAGTACCTAAGAAATGATTAACTAAATGAATTAATACTCATACCAAATCTACTCAGTTTTCATGAGTGATGGGCTAAAATCTCCATTTTAAGAGAGAAGTGTTAGACGTCATACATTTGCAAAAGATTATTGAAATTAATGTTTCTAAGGCTATTCTCTTAAACAAGATCTGCCAATAAAATCTAGGTGAAAGTCTTATATAGAAAACCAGTATAAGGAGCTAACAGTTTTTTCAGTGTTGGTCTGAACAGGGCCATCAGGTTCTTCAAGATTCTCTTCGAAGAACCTAAAATTTATGAACAACTTAAATGAAAGAATTGAAAATGCCATCATAAGTGTTGTTGATTCTATTAAATATGGAATAGTTTGCAAGTATTTTGGAGGTCTGAATAAGCACGATGTATTAGAAAAGGGATAGAATAAAGAAAAGACCACTTAACTGAAGCATATGCAGAGTATGAAACTTAATTAGGAGTAAACAAATTCACAATTATATGATAAGTTTGCATTCCTTTCAAATATTTAAGAGTGGTAAATTACAAATTGAGATGAATCATGTTCCTGTGAAGAAGAAAGAAATAGGCATAAATGTATGAAAACGCATATATCTATTGCAGGAAATGTGAAATATTTCTTCCTGTTTCAACACCGGTAAGAGCACTACAGCTGTGCTGCGAGGACATGAATCAGAATGTTTAAAGGTCTAGAAAATCTAAAACCTTTAAGGAACACACGGAAAAACTGGACTAGCCTGGAATACTGAAGATAGTAGGTAGAAAAGTAGATGCTATAACTTCTGAATGTGTAAAAGATTTCTGTCAGGAAAAAAAAAATCTTTTTTCCTGCCAATTTACTGTTTAAACGAGAAATAATGGACTCAAATTGATCCCATCAAAAGATCATGTCAGATACCAGAAAAACATTCTAATGTGAATACTGTAGATAAATCACTTCTAATTTTACAGAAGTGTCTAAGGACAATTCATCTATCAACAATAGTTTTCCTATTTAAGGCCAAGGATTGCACTTGCCATGACATTCTTTCAGCTATATTGTCTATGACTATATATAAATTCTTACTTCCAAACTGTAGCAGGTGAAGAATATTAAACTTTAAAGTGTTTATTCTTGAAAGACAATGGAAATTATCTATATTTTTTATTTCAGTGCTATAGAAGCCTAGTCATGCTACATGACTATCACAGAAACTATGAGGAAAATATAGAAAATTGTGCGCCCTCAGAAAAGTCAGTTTTATTAGATGGTCAATACACTGCAGTTTTATGCTTCATACTGTATGTCTCAATTGCTTTTCTTTACACATTCCTGTTGAATTTAATAATGACTCAAGAATAATGAAATACATATTTTCACCCTTACATCAAAGAGGCTTGATTTAAATCCAGTCTGTTTCAACGTTCTGGAAATTCCTTATCACTTTTGTGTGGAGATCTGTGTCAGATGAGTTGATGCTCTCATATTGACCTCTGGAATTTTTGTCTACATCACTGACACCTATGAAAGGATTCCCATTGCCTTGAGTAGATTTCTATGAAACTCATGAAAGAAATTCCTCAATGAAAATCTGTAAATGTTGCTGAATAATTTCCAATTTAGAAAATAGATAATTGAATGCTTATAATGAGTGCATAACTCCATAAATTCTCCAGGATGTGCACTTAGCAGCAAGGTAGATACATACCAAGCGAGATCCCTGCTGCCCAAGAGGCAAAAGGTCAAGAGTAGAAAATCACATAACATTTTTTAACTTCCAAATACACAAAATATAGTGAGAATATATCCCGGATCAGTAGTTATGAGAACAAACTGATAGTAGTTCTGAAGAATTCAGCTACATTTAGCTGCAGTTAATAGCATAATGTGGTGGAAACAAGTCAGTTACTGTGCTTTATAATTTTAATGTCATAAGATTGCTCATGACTTTCTTTTGGCTGCCTCATTGAAGATGTAATAGCATAGGATATTGTGACCAAACTTTTCCAGAATCATATTAATATATTTTTATATATTCTGTGAATACTTCTGTTACTTTATCTTGGATGTTGTATTGCAGAGTAATATACCATTGTTATTCAAGTGCAAAATTGTTAAAATTAAGTAATTCAATACAAGTTTCATATTTAAACACTGTTTTTCTCCAGCCGCTCTCAGAAGTTTCACATGTGTAGTAGTCTGTTAATCCAATATGGTATGATTGTTACGGGATAATGTGACGAACTATAATTTAGTTTAATCCATTTCAACATATAACAAATAACAATGGCACATTTTTCCGCTATCAGATTCTCTTTTTATTGTTACTAGTGTTGTTAGAGATGGAACCAGCCTAGTTTTACTGATGAGACAGTTTGGGCACACAGATATTAATTTCTGCACTAACATTCTTCTGACTAAGAATCTAAATTCTTCTCATCTTTTTTTGGCATGGAAAAGTCCTAAAAATATTTTACTTAGATGAAAAGAAGACAGTGTTGTATCACACTTTCTTACTCTTTAATGGCTTGTCACCCACATAACCTAAAGCGTTCTACTTAACACTGCTTTAGAGACTTCAGAGCACAACTACTTTAGGGGATAACCAACAGGAGAGAAGCATTGAGGACCGCTGCTCTGTATTAATTCTCTAGCAGAAAATCAAGAAAGAAACTTTGTTTTTTCATTGTTGTGAAAATGCATAACGTTATTAAGTAGAAAAATCAAAATAGCCTTTGGCCAGTATGGGCTCACAGATCTGTTTGTCATGAGCTAGCTATCTAGACCTTAAGGAGTCCTCCCAACCTTTCTTGAGATTAGAGAGTGCAACTCTCTTCATTTTCTCTTCATAGAGCTCCTTTGCAACTGTAAAGTCAGCCTTAAAAGTAGGATATGGATCTTAACTGACTCTACCTGCACATTTTCTGGATCTTTCTAGATTGTTCCACTAAAGTCATCTTATTTTCATCTAAGGACCTTGTGCTAATTCCAACCTAACGTTACTCAGAAATAACATATGGAAGTCCTGTTTAGAGTTTTCGTTTATCTAACTGACCATATCTTTTTCCACCTGGCAGTACTGAGGCAGTTCCAGATATCAGAGAGGCTTTTGCTGCTACTGAATTGGATATCTCTGAGTTTGGAAACTGTTTTTCCTGCTCCCTCACAGGTAGCAGAATAGCAGTGCCATGTGTAACTGTGTCTTCACTGTTAGTTCAAATCCCCTGAATTTCAAGCTTGAGAGGGGATTTGTGCAGATCTGTTCTCATATAACTGTAAGAAAGTTAGTGGATATTCAGCACTATCACAGCATAGGTGAAGACATTTTGGTATATATGTATAAACTCTATCCTTAGCAGAGCTGATTTTTCATGCTGATTTCTCATTTAATAAAAAAAAAAAAAAAAACAGTGAAAGAGCTTTTTGCTGCATACTAAAGTCCACATGCTTTCACAGTGCGTAAGCAGCATAGTTTTCAGGGCATTTCCTGATAAAAGCACTGAATAGCCAGCTATACTGTTGATGTGTTGTTGGCATAAGGAATTTTTAAGTAAATGAAAAAACATGAATTTTCTAGTTCTTTCAGATAAAATGCAATGGACATAGTTAGGAGGAAATTGTTGCAGGTTCATTTTTTTAAGTGAGCTAACTCATCAATGTTGTTTCAGGTGACCCAATACTCTTTGTTGGCTCCATATAGGATATTTTCCTCTAAGATTTCTCATTACTTTTGCACTTCTTGCAGTTTCCCCAGTGGTAGCCCCTTTGTGAGCACTGAGTTAAATGGTCTTGTATTTTGACTATTAGTACTTCAACATCAGTAGAAACTCTGGAGCCTCAATGCTACCTGAAGAAAAAACCCAAACATTTAGAAGTCATTTGGTTGGACCTGTATTTGTTCTATGTGAAAGTATATGTGCTAAAACAATGTAGCTATCCAATTGCTTTAATAATAGCTGAAAACAAACTTCTGAAGTCACTCACTATCTAAGTGCTACTATCTTCTACCGGTCCCAACTCAGTATGCAGAAAATACAGACAGAAAATACAGAGATGAAAAACTCTGTCTCCCGTCACTGGCCCCTTGAGCCATCCAGTATCCCAGAAATAGTTTGTTTTAAAGAAACAAGGCTTAATCATATTTATTACAAACAGAGTAAAATGTTTCTGATATCTGAAAGGCAAAGAAGATAATGTGGCCATTAGGGTTAGTCTTACTATATCCCAAGATGTCAACACGCTTGCCAAAAAATGAATTTATCAGCTCAGCATAGCAAAGAGATTTAGTTTATCTAAATGTCCTACAAGGAATAAATAGTTTACCACTGGTTTTGTAGATTGGGATAAATCTAACATTCTATTGACATATGCTATAGATTTAATTTAATGCTGTGGTTCAGATGTCTCTTCTGATAAATCTTAGGAAAATCTATGCTAAGAAGAATGGAGCTGTTTCAGTATTTATGGGATTTAAAATGCGGGGTTAGCAAAGGAAACATGTTAATTGAAACAATATTTGTGTATGTTTTTGCAGTGGTTAGGAAAAGACTATTGCTGAAGTCTATTGGTCAGTTGGTGCTGAATACTAGAGGTGGAATATTGTTCAAGTTTTTTGCTGTTTTTCTGTAGTGAGAAAATCCTTTAATGAAGCAATTAAACATTTTAATTTTTATTTTTAGGCATATTGGAGATAACATCTGTAGAAATTGGAGTTGTGGCAGTTAAGTCCATCAAAAGCAACTATTACTTAGCTATGAACAAAAAAGGAAAAGTCTACGGCTCTGTAAGTACTTTCTTTAACCTTCTCAACAGATGGCAGTAGTCATCATTCCTCCCCCGTTACTACTGAAAACCCTACTTGCCCATGTATTACTTCTAAATAAAGCCCTTCATCAAAATTTCATCCTCTGGCAGTATCACATCCATATGCTCCGAGTTCCAGGCATTTATTGTGCGCACTGCTTCAGTCACATTTCTTACTAACTAATAGCTGATTGAGAAGGATCTACAAAATGTAATCATTAAGATTAGATTTCCTTGTTTTTCTGTAGTACTACCGCATTTATTAGACTGTATTATTCTGAAATGATAACTTGTACCCAAAATCTTGTAAAACTTCAGCTGATATCTAACCAGATTGTCTAACTATGAATGCTGAGAAAATTTCTAGAGCAGCCAGCTAGAGATTGACTATACCAATTGATATGCAAATTTGTAGACAGTACAAGGAGACAGATTTTGACTGAGAAGAATTTGGCTATCATTTGAAAATTGTCCATAAATTTGCATTTATGTAAGTCTGGGTTAACTGGTCTTTCCATTAGAAAAAAAAAGTTACTACCCAAATATTTTTAGCAGGAAGCAATATGACCTATAATTCTAACAAACTCCAGTTTATACTCACAAATCCACACAATGGCACAGACACCAAATTGTTGTGTTATTACATACTGTTTTGTTTGTACAAGTCAGATACAAAGGTAATGAGCCAGTTTTCAGGCTTTAAAGAGAACAGTGTAGCTAAGTCTGTCCCTGCTGAAAATTGCAAAGTAATGGTAGCCTGAAACTAGCAAGAACATCAGCTAAGCTCAGGGGAACCTAAACATCTGTCCACTGTGTAAAGAAGCAATTCTTTTATGTATGTGGCTTTAGTTCATACAAACAATGCAAACTGTCTTTCTTCATCCACACTGTTTCTAGTCACTCGTGGTTCACAAAGTTACCTTTGACCCCTAGCGTTGAAGAACTGTGTTAAGAATAGAAAGGCCTGAACAGAGAAATTATTCTTTAGCTCCTATAAATGCAGATTTTAATTTGAAAAATTACACTAGTCAGAAGAACTAGATGATCAGTGGTCAGTCCTTTACTGTTGATAGGTGTAAAGGCACACTGAGCAGCTGACAAAGTTAGCTTTTGTCAGTTAAGCTCCAGTGCTACACTAATCACAAGTATGCTTCTGGACCTACGAAAAGGTGCTAGCTTAAATCACCATCATAAATTTGTATGTCTCTGTTTAACCCAGTCATCTATGTTGATCTACCCCAAAACCTGCAATAAGTTTTCCTACTCAAGTTGTTAGCCACTGCTGGTGTGAGAATTCATGCCAACCATATACACGCACAAAAAGAAAATGGAGCAGCTTTCATGTACCATAGGTGGAAACTGCTGCCAAAAGATTCAGTAATTCACAGTGTATTAGAAATAGTGCTGACAGGAGGATACGAATGTGGAGAGCCTTTTTTTTTAATTCCAACTGAGATAATTTTTCAATATTCACATAATAAAATCACAACATAATGACTTATCAAAACGTATTCCATAATACTTCAGAGATTTCAAGAATGCTTCTGTTATTATTTTTCCCATCCTCCCAAGACTTGCAGATAGACTTATATTACTACAGTGTGGCAGCTTGCAGATGGATATGAAAAGCAGAACTAATAAAAATTTTAAAAACACTCTTAAGCATGTGCACAATAGACACTGGTGCAGGGATATACTGAAATTCATTTGAAATGAGCAAAGCAATTCTGGGCTAACACTCAGACCCCTGCCAATAATAATTCTTAGCCACTTCTCAACATCATCTCCTCTCTCTGTATTGTCTAAGAATAGAAACAAAAGTTTGGATTACAGTGTGGTTCTGCATCTGAGAAAACAAATCAGGACTCTGTCTCTCTGTTTTATCAGTTTTCTCTGTTTATCAGATACATTGGCATCTGACTGACTGGTTAGAACAAGGGAGACAAGGAAGATGAATTATTTGATTTATTTAACAAAATAACATTCTGGCAGATCAGAGAAATTATTGTGGATTTGAAATGTGATTGATAGTCACCTGCTTTCTTAATATCTTGACATGGGAGGTGACATATTATTACTGCAAGAAAAAGTTAAACAACCTGTATGTAAAACATCTGTCTGTATGAATACAATCAGTATTAATGGTTGTTTAAATAATTACTCATGCAAAAACGGGAAAACGTTTTGAGAGACCAATTGGATTTGAGTGTGCTCAGTTCTGTTAAGAAAATATGTGTGCTCTGTGGTCTGAACAGCAACTAAGGAAGACATTAATGATAGACCAGAAAATGCCTACTATATCAAAGCACTGAACACTAGCTAGTTTAACATTTTTTTATTTAAATTAATAGAAATGAAAATGTGTATTTTTAATTATTCTTATTACCTACCCTATTTCACTTTAAACATTTAAACACAACATTATGTTGTGACTTTAAAGTCAGTCAAGCAATGTCCTTTTTATTAATGCAGATACTTTCTATATTTTTAGCTCAATAACTAAGGATTTTCATCACAATTAAAAAATCCCTGAAATTCTCATTTGTACCATAAAAAATGTTTCATTATTCAGATATATTTCTCATCTGGTTCATAAGTAACCTAATATCACATATAATTAATATATCATACTCTGAGATTCTGATGTGTTTCTACTTCAGCTGTGAAATGGCATCTTGTTATCTGAAATGTAGAAGAAATAAAAGGCCAGTTTTTGGTTGCAGTTTAACTACGTTGTGAATATTCCATTTTCAAAAGATTTCTGTAGAGAACATCAGTAATTATGTGATCTAACTTATTTATATGTAGTAATTGCTCATTTGTGAAAACAAAGCATTTTTCTCTTTTCTTTGGAGAAGCAGATAAAAGTTCATTTAACATTCTAGGAAAAAAAAAAAAATTGTGCTTGTATTTTTTATCCTTTCTAGTTAAACAGCAAGTAGATCTCCTTTAAAAATGGAAAACATTAATTCCTAATATTCTACCCAGAATTACTCTCAAGTTTACTTGATTATCTTCTCAATAAGACATAGGACTACATATGAATCGTAAAAGCTAGTAAATGAATCTTTTTTAGGCTAAGCCCATCAATTCAGCAAAGTATATGGGCCTCACATCCACTGTAACAGCAGTGTAACAGTGATTTATACTCATCAAAAAAGTCCTTTTTCATTGCCAGTGTGTTGTAAAGGATCTCACTTTCAATAAGAAATAAGCCTAAGCCACGCATGCTTGTTTAACATATGGTATCAATAATCTGATTCAAGATATTTAAGGGATGTATTTATTAGAACTGGGGTATGATGAACAATTCCAAGATTGCTACCTTATACTTTATGACTGAGAATTTGATTTAATATTGTTATATTCCACTACAGAAAAGTTACATTTCTAAGTGAATTGTGTCATTTCATTGCTTAATTATGCAAAACTGATCTTTTTTCCACTTTTTGCAATCTAAGTGCTGTTGATGTCAATGGTATGTACACAGTGAAATGTTACGTCTGTTCTGAAATGGTGTATTTGTTTTATTCTTTCAACAGAAGGAGTTTAATAGTGATTGCAAATTGAAGGAAAGAATAGAAGAAAATGGATACAATACATATGCATCCTTAAATTGGAAGCACAATGGAAGGCAAATGTTTGTTGCTCTGAATGGAAGGGGAGCCACAAAGAGGGGACAGAAAACAAGAAGAAAAAACACTTCAGCTCACTTTCTTCCAATGGTAGTAGTGTCATAGATGGAGGAACTATTCTATCAGTGCAGTTGAACCAAAGGCTCTTATGTCAATAATAATCGGTAATCTTCTTGAAGAATAATTGCAAAGAAATAGTGCAGACATCTGCTTGTTTGAAAAGAGCAGGGGAATCCTCTGAAGTTTTTGTACTAATTACTGGCAAATGAAATACTTTTATTTAATTCAGTGTTCTATCTTAAGAGCAAGATAGAAGCTGAATCAAAGGGGATATAAGTCATTGCCAGTGTGAACATTTTTTTTTCTCTCTGCAACAGAACTTAAGGAATGTGAGACAATCTAATGAATGATCTTCGTGGGGAAAGTTATTTATGGAATACTAACTCATATCAAAGACCTTAATTGCTCATTCAAGCCTATGAACAGTTAGACATGCAAGCATTTACTGGAAGCACTTGGGTCATATGCACAAATAAAGATGCTTCTGGAGAAGCCTTGTGGAAGAATGGATAGGATTAAGAAATATAATCAAAGCAGTATCAAACTGTTCTAACAAGACGAATAGTATGGTTTGCTTGTATGTTCTAACTTCACTCCTTTTTATTTTCTTAAATTTTTTTTTTTTATTAGTTTTTAAAATATTTTTTTTTTTTTTTTTTTTTTTTTTAATTTGAAATGTTTTCCTCATTTGCTTCTTTGTTGTTTTCCCTTTTTCTCAGTACTTCACACAGGATTGATGAGTTAAAATATCAGAACCTTGTAAGTACTGTGAGAATAGGTAATGGACAAGGCTTTAAAGGCAGAATTTAGTGTGTATAATCCGTTTTGTTTTTTTTTTCTAACTCTCTTGCACTTAAGCAAAAGACCAAACATGCAGTGCTTGGATTAATGGTATTGTGTGTCTTTATGTTTGAGAGGTTTTCTTACTTATTAGCACTCAAAAACAAACTTCAAGAAATACTTGCTTCAAAGGGACTTTCTGCTATTTTTAAACTGAGAGCAGGGGCCACCTCTGTACTTGGGTATCGATGTATCTGTGTGTATATTCATCTGACTTTGACTTCAGTGTGGAATTAAGAACAAATGCATTGCAATCAGTAAGAAATTTTGCAGCAAGCACTGGGCTAGAACCTAGATGTGGACAGTCCTGTTAAAATCGCTGATAATTCCATTGTTAAAATTAAACAATATGAAATTTCCAAGAGTGACAGAATCACAGAATTGTAGGGGTTGGAAGGGACCTCCAGAGATCATCGAGTCCAACCCCCCTGCCAAAGCAGGTTCCCTACAGCAGGTCACACAAGTAGGCGTCCAAGTAGGAGTTAAATTTAGTCTCTGAAAGATGAGATAGAAACACAGTCCTGCACTCCCTATTCAATTAATATGGCCATTCAGCACATTTGTCCTTGTTAACAGCTTGAAGAGTCACAGAAAAAGAATGGGAATAATACCTAAATAAGGACTGAGGGACAGGGAATCCAAAATCATGCTCGTGCATTTATCAGAGATTATTACTCACATGTATATTATATATGAGAGCCAACAAAAAAGCTGTGCTGGTATCCAGCTTTAGCATGCCTTTCATATCCACCTTAGCCACTGAAGGTTCCAAATGCATAATATCCAGCACATTTTCATTAAGTGTTACTATTCCCATGGCTTAACTTGAGCAACTGCAGTATAACAAAATTAAGCATAATATGAAGTCTGTTCAATTAAAGGTACATAAGGTTTGTTTTATGTTTTGCTTTACTCTGTAATTTTATAGAGCTCTGGATAGCTCACCAATGTAACCATATTGAGATTCATTTTGTTAGAGCAGATAAATAGAAAACAGTACAACAAATAATTTGTACCACTGTCTTCACATTGTATTCCACTAAATAAATAATTAAGCCTTTGCAGTGTCTGTAGTAAGAAACAGAAGTAGTATAATATTATTTTGTTCTAAATACTTCTAAGTGATAACTATGAGATTATATTGATGATGCAGTTTTATCTTCAATATTTCTTGTTGTGAAAAAGTCATTTTTATTTTTATTGTTTGGAAACTGTATTTTGGTACAAAGGAGAGCCTTGCTTAATGTTTCTTTTTGAGAATGTTTAATCTCTATAAAGGCTGGTGTTGTTGGAATCTTCTCTAAGTTATTTAAGTCAATGTTTAACCAGCACTTCAATCTTAATCTGTTATTTAAGTATTAGCTGTTAAAAAAAAAAAATAGCTTTCCCATGAAAATACAAAGTGGTCAGACTGTATTTCCTGTCTTTAAATAAAGTTAACTCTTTTAAAACCAGAAAGTAATTCGAGACACAACATTCTAACTGATAGCTAACATTACATTTCATGGTTCTTTAGCTTGCTTCTTCACAAATGAGGTTTTCTAGAAATGGAAATAAGAACTTAAGATTTTAAATGTAATTTTAGGTGATCAGCAAAATTTAATGACCATAATAAATGTGAATTTTTGCTGTTAAAAATTTGTAATCGATAATTAGAACTGACAAGACATAGTGGACCACCCACAATGAACATTCAATGTTAGCCTGGGCAAATGCAGTATTGGATTACTACTTAAAGAACATTTAGGGTACAAATGAGGTTCTCTTGACAGAATTACCTAGTTTATATGATCAGGGGAGGGTTTTGCATAAATATTATCATAGTACTCAAAACACTATGCTGCTCAGAGGCCAAAATCGGGAAAAATATCACTTTTCCAAAGTGAGTCAGGAGACATTTCTAACATGAATTTCTTAGAATGAACCAAAATAAAATGTCCTTGAAGGAAACAATGATTCCTGCATGATTAACATCTGTAATACCTACTGGTGGTGGGAGGGGAGCAAACTGCAGGCCTTTTTTCTAGAGTTTCACAGTTCCTCAACCATATCCTCTGTTCTCTGTCAGACAGACTCTTGAGGAGGAGAGATTTAAAAAAGAAAAGAAAAACAAAAATCACTGAGCAACAATGTATAGCATGTTATATTTAAATAAAAGTAATAAAATATGGGGAATAGAGAATAAGACTATTGTCTTTGTTTTATTAACCTGAATTGATACTGCAAAATACATATAGAAAGGGAAAAGATACGTTGTACTGCAGGATGTGGTTTGCTGCTATATAGCACTGAAACAAAACAAAAATCACTAGGACATTTATGAAGTTTCTTTAATTCTTTGCATGTGTACGTCAGCTATCTCCACACTAATAACAACCAAATGCTTTAAATTCTTCCCATAAGTATTCAAATTCACCTAGTTTATACAGTGGAAAAAATAATGAATATAAAGCAAGGACTTTTGATGAAAGAATGGTGGATTTTAGGAAGAAGAAGGAGTACTTACACTTTTAAAATAAACTTCGGAGAAGGAAAAATAGTTGCACTTTATGTAAGATTTCATTCAAGGCATTCCAGGTTATAAAGTTCTTTAGAGATTAGTAAACTTAACTAATACAAGTTGGTGAGTCAACATTTGTAATCCATGCCCCTGCTGAAACTGAGTATCTGCGTTCACACAATCAGTCATAGCTGCTTCAAGGACTTGACCTTGAAAATAATGCAGGAAGACACTATTTTGAAGCGTCATTTTTTACTCTCTTAAATTAGATTGTGTGGCAGGATCCATACTCCTTATTTCCTATTCACTTGGAGTGAGAATACGTTAACACAAAAACATGTGTAACTGTTCTGCTACAGTTAGTCCGTGTATGATTGTTATAGAATAATTAAAGTTGGAAAAGATGTCTGAAATCATCTAGCTCATCCATCAACCCAGCAGCACCAATATTGCCCACTAAACTTTGTCCCTAAGTGGTGCAGGAATGCATTTCTTGAACACCTCCAGCATCAGTGACTTCACTACCTCCCCGGGTAGCCCATTCCAATGCTTCACCACTCTTTCACAGAATGAATTTTTCCTGATATCCAACCTGAGCCTCTACTGGTACAACTTCAGGCCACTCCCCCTCATCTTGTCACGAATTATCTGGGAGAAGAGGCTGACCCCCATCACGCTACAACCTCCTTTCAAATCATTGTAGAGAGTATAAGGTGAGCCTCCTCTTCTCCAGACTAAGCAATCTCAGTTCCTTCAGCTGTTCTTCATAAAACTTGTGCTCCAGACCCCTCACCAGCTTTGTTGCCCTAACTGCCTGAACCATTTCAGTGCAACCACAAATAACAGAAAAACACATGCAAAGTTATTTTCCCATCACAGTATGAGCAAGAAATGGAATATGAAAAATTATTTTGTTTTGCACCTATCAGATTAAGATTTACAGCTATGTCTACCCACTCAAAATATTTGAACCTCATTTTTAACTATATGGAAGCCTTCTCAGACTATGTTTTATTTAGGGATTAACTATCTAGTATTGGCATTTTCCAATGAAGCACAGTGAATCTCACATATCTGGCTGATGTCTTTTCACTCACTAATCACAGAAAAAACACATGCTGTGTCCTTTGCTCAAACCAGTAATGTAAAGAAAACATGCCACTGTGAAAGGAAAAATAAAGAAACAATGACTAAGCCTCAAGTAAGTTATTAGGAAGCAGTGATCTTTAGGTTACAGCAGATTAAATAAGGAGAATTTGGACTCCTGAAATTCCCTACCAGAACTTCTAAAGAAATTCCATACAGTAACACTCTAAAACAAAATACTAACCCGTACACTTGAATAAATAGATATGCTGATGAAAATGTCTTGCTAGTCCATTGTCAAAATATAAGACTATGTGCATCACAGTACATGAAAGAAAAAAAAAACAACACAGGTATCATCCTAGTGTATATTTCTATATGAAATGTGAAATGACACTAATAGACAATATGGTGTAGCAGAAAAGCAGAATCTACTATTTCATCAGAGCTTAGACTCTATATGTTGAGATAATGCAGTAAAAGTAGAATCAGAATACTACAGCCTCTTCATAACTACTGTATTAAAGTGAGTGTGTGGCTTCACTGGGCTTCAGTGTAGCCAAGATTCATTCAAGACCCAGATGTCCTATTCCCACATTCAAACTACTCTGACTTGATTTAAATAATGTTATATGATTTTTTTTTAATTTATTTTTGGATGATGAGTCTGTTTTACCAGTTGCGAAAATAACTTCCTTAACTCTTTCCTCTTATAAAAGTCTTCAGAAAAATCTGAGGAAAGGCCAAATCTGGTCCACACCTGAATGTGCAGTTTTGTCAAGCTATAAACAACTAAACAAGCAGATGTTCATTCAGTGCACAGTAGACAGGAACCTGCATTATTCAGTGAGGTGTGTACGAGTGGGAAGAAACACAGCAAACTCAAAATGTTCTCTCATTTGTTTACATACATTTTTTTCCTGCTGCTCTCAGGGGTCTACAAACAAAGTTTATCATTCTTTCATAACTGTCCTGGAACAAGCCATTCATGGCATCAAATTATTTTGAGCTTCTAGTATCAGTATGCTTCAGATACATTAAGAGCCTAAAAAACCTAACTTGTTTATACTTATTACAAAAGACCAGTATAGGAACAGCATAATCTTTCAAAGAGTCAAAAAGTACCTTCTAGATGTTGCAGCCAACACTCTAAGATCTTCCAAGCAATACTTCTAACAAAATTTTGATTCA